AAAGATCTCTTCAAGTGTTTCGCATAGCTTTTTAGATAATATTCTGGGAATACTTCACACATCAGATCCTTGAGGCACTTTCACTGCTAACATAACACTAAAGTGGATTTATGTTGTTATAAACTTTGAAATATTTGAAGATAAAAATCCCACTCAGATATAGTTGTTTCCTCACTCCAGCCATGTATTTATGCCAAGTGTAACTCTGTTGTCATGGCTGCTTAGTCAACTCATAACAACGTTTCGCTAATCTCCAACTACCAGCTGTATGGAATCTATTAGAGGAAACGGTGTGGGTTCTATAAAATGAATCCAGATTGAGCATGTATCACTTTAAGACCACCACATTAAAAGCCACTCCGTGTAAGGAACTCCTCCTATCTAAAGGATCTCACTCAGTCCCTGAACCTCAGAGGTAAAGGCCTGATTGTGTTCCAGAGAATTCCTGGTCATTTAGAAACGACGCTTTTTCTGCAATGCCTGGACAGGAGGGGATCCAGAGAGATAAGGTAACTGCTTTGTATCTTACTAGAGAGAAAAGTTGTTCCAGGTAGTTATTTTCGAAGCAATGGCAAACTTTCTTCGGAGGTCTTGTCATGGTTGTTCTGGAAGCAGATGCAGAACTCTGCAGAAACCTCAAAGCTGTATCAATATAGTCTCCTTTACATGACTAGTTAATATCTGCAACTATAGATCTGCTATACATTTTTTTTTCTTTTTTGTTAGTGAGCAGCTTTAAATCTCAGCTGCATATGGTTATTTCTATTTTGCTTTTGAGTACACAACATACAAGTAACTGTACCGATTTACAGATGTGCCTATACGCAGACTTTGCCTCCCTACCACATCTGCCCGTACAGGCAACACAACTACTGAATACTTCTGGTCTCTGGCCATCATCATTCGAGATAACAAGCAACAATGACAAAGTTACAAGAAGATACGGCAATTTACGTGAAGTGAGAGAAAAAAATAAGTTACACAAGCGCATTTGATAACTGAGCAGTCTTTGTGTGACATCTTGACACGTTCTGCTACTAGTCTCACGTTATAATTTCCATTTTCAATAATCATTCAAATTATAATTGTATTAAGTCCCTGGCTTCAAAACTGTTTTGTATTCAATGCAAATAATTACATCAGCATAGGTCTCACATGGTGAGAATATCGCAAAAATACTTGAGCTCAAGCCCTGTTTTGACCATGTACTTACGCCTTAGCAATTCGGTATTATTCCAACACAAGGAGGCATACATCACTGCCCTCCTTTGCTGCTAGAGCCCACCTACTGCTTCTAGGAGGGTACAAAGCAGCAATGGCTGCGTTATTCTCCCCCAAACACACTCCACTATCACCCTTGCTTCCCTAGTTCAGTACAGCACTAGAGCCCACCCAGTCCTTCAGCTGTTAACCTTGGCCAGACACTTATCAGTTGCAGCAAACTCCCACAATAGCCCCCATTAGTTCCCCATCCTAAAGAGAGTGAGGTGGAACAGGGAAGAACCTAGGGAAGCGTAGGAGTTGTACTATCACTATTCATCAACTTTCAAATTATTCAAATTATCTATCTCCTCCTCCCACTTTATTCCAAGTTTGAAGGCACTCCAGCAACAGTTAATGTTGTGTTTTTCCAGGTACGTGTGAGAGTAAACTCTCCCCTTCGTTTTGCTGCACTAGCTCTCTGGAAACCGATTTTAGAGAATAAGCATCAACTGGCAATGAATTACGTTTTTATCAGTCACTGCAGCTGCTAGCCTGGATTGCAACGTAAGATACAATAATTTGTATGCATTCTAAAAATTTACAGCAACTATTGTCAAAGACTAGTGAAATTATCTAATCATTGTTTGGATTTATTCACCACTCTGGAAAAAAAAACTTCAAATAGCATTCAGGTGAAAGTTTTCATCTGCTAAAAAAGCAGGTCAGCTAAGTCACACTCAAAAATTTTGTGCTGTGCCCAACCTCCTCCTCACCTCCCCCACCCTACAAGGCTTCTTCCTGCAAAAATTCACAATGACTGGTCATTTTCAATAACCAACTTGTAATCTCTCTTGCAGGAACCTTTAAATGTGATATCTGCTCCATGACCTTGCCAGGCACAGAGGTGAGGCTGACCGGCCTGTAGTTGCCCGGGTCCTCCTTGTTCCCCTTTTTAAATATAGGGGTTATGTTCCCTCTCTTCCAGTCAGCGGGGACCTCGCCAGTCCGCCACGACTTCTCAAATACAATGGCCAGTGGCTTAGCAACTTCATCCACCAGTTCCTTCAGGACCCACGGATGGATCTCATCAGGTCCCATTTTCTATGGGAATTTTCTATAATTCTATGATTCTAAATGTGATATGGATCACCTTATTTAAATGGATATGCTTTCCAGCACTCCACTGCCAAGTACACCAGGCAACTCTGACACTTGGAAGTGAAGTTTCCTGAAGGGTAAACTGCAACCTAGTTCAACAGTTCGGAAGGTAAACTTCATGACTATAGCAGGTATGAAATGTGTTTAACAGACAATTTTCCAATCCTCCTGGGAGCACAATTGTTATGCCTAATATTTAACAAAATTAATACTAATAAAAGCAATTATCATTGATCAGTTACAGTGGTTTACCTTTGACTATTTAAAATAGAGCATAATCTATTTTACATTTATATTACAATGCAACTTGGTTTAAAAAGCCACATGAAAGTTAGACCAAGTGAACACTCGTCCCCTTTTCCAGATGGACTTAGTCACAAGCTCTGCAGTCAAGCACTAAAATCTTAACAAGCAGCTGAAGGTCAAGATGCTCCCTTTCCTTTTCTATGGAAACACCACTTTGATGTGTACACTGTAGTTCCAAGAGCCATTTTTATACCAGTTTCAAGAAACCAGGCCTGTTCATACTAAGTGCATGCCAAATTTTGCAAGTGGCTTGCTACAGAGCTTCTACAGTTTAGTAGCATTTTCTACTGCATGTTCTATTCCATCTATCTCGTGATGGTTCTTTTAGAAGTTTCACTGTTCTCCAGCAGCATTCCTAACGCAGTGACTACTTACAAACAAGCCAAGCTGCAAAGCCTCCATGAGCAAGTAGGTAAGACTGTAGCAATTACATTTTAGACTAGGCAAGAATACAAGGCTTAGTCACACATTTCAGCCAATCTACAGCTGCCAGTTTAACCTCCACAACTCTGGCAAAAAAGTAGTTGCAGGTTCTGTTCTACATTTTGACTAAGAACTGTTTTACTTGCACCTCCTTCTTCTACTACTGCCTTTCTCTCTCACCTCTGTGGTAAATTTAAGTGGAAACTACCAGTTAGGACTTTTTTTCCTTGACTTGATGTTCCTTCCTGTCTTCAGCTTTACAGCAATGGGAATGAAATGCACTGTGAATCTAGTAACCTGTAACTGAAGTACAGAAGTAGTAATATTATACCACTAAACTGATCAACTCTAACACTGAAGTTTAAACACAAATGAAAGAACAGACTTAGAAACAAAACTCCGTTATTAAAACAATACTAAGTTTCACTATACTGCATCTTACTACTCAAACTTCAATTCTGAAACAGCAGAATTTGAAATTAGGAGTAAATGAACCTTGAAACTACTTATTTTCCTCTATCCCAACTACAGAACTACTACCTAACTGCAGAACCTTAGCAAGCATAAAGGACATCCACTTGAGAAGCATCTTCATCTACCAAACAATGAACATGAAGTGAGAAGTAAACCCTGCAGCCTCTGCAGCTCTAGCATCAACTGTGTCACTCTACAGCTAAGAAATCTTTCATGAATTGAAGATTCTGCATCATGACTGGAACACATCAATAGCTTTTTCAGAGGCCCCAGGACGTCACTGCTCACCACTGTTACACAGCAGTTGCAGCAACATCAGAACCAGCCAACTCCTGACCTCAAGCCACTGAAGGCTAGTAGTTACACTGTTTTCCTTTCTCTCTTAATTGAACCACAGTCCACAGAAATATCCTGCTGTTTACTGCTAGATATGCCATGTTTCTGAAATGCAGCGAGTGTGTTTTAAGTGTCATGGACTTTTTTTTAGCAATTCAAAAACATAAAAACCCTTTCTGAATATCATTTGGTTTACAGAAGCACAGTACACCTTGATTTACTGGACTACAGGTTGCCCAGAAAGCTAGAGGCATCTGAATCAACTCACTGAAGGAATCTAACTTAGAAAAGGCCACTATTTTAACTGTAGGTTAGGCAGCCTGCCTTTCTTTCACAGCACCTTGCCAGTGGAATGAGAGAACCACACCCACTCTCTTCCAGTCACAGCACTTTACAGTGCAGAAATGCAACCTCTCAATGCAAGCATTTTTTCCGATTCTCTAGTAGTTTTTTCCTCATGCTCCACTTTTTCATCTTCCACAATAGAGAAGACAGTATATAGTCTAAAGCGCTTCCAGCACTGGCAAAAGCAAGTTGCAGTCTTGCAAGTAGGAGACACTACTGTTTTGCTGTTACAAACACACCCCTTTTCAACAGTTTAAAATCAGAATATCAATGAAGAAAAAAAACTTCACTAGGGACAAGGTTCTAGGGAGTAAGGTTATTCTGAGTATTTAATAGATGACATTTCAAGCCTGTACAATGTGACATTATTAAACTCTTTTGTGTGGGTTTTTTTTGCCAGTTTGAGAAACAGGCAGCTAATAGTCAGTGCCACTTGATTAAAAACATGCACGAGACCTGGGGAAAGTTCAAAGCATTAGGATATTAAAAGCACACAGTGATAAAGCATACATTGGACCACAAGGCAAACATCTACCATTTCTTCAGCAGAATTTCTTGATTTTCCTCCGGTCACTGCAAATCTGTAGTGTCTAATCTTATCTGTGAACTTATTTAGAATTCATTTCCCTGTTAAGAAAATTATTAAAAGGATCTGAAGGTGGTCCCACTCTAAGCCAACTCCAATTAATGTTTCCTTTCTTAAGTAAATTAGTTGTCAATCAAAGCTTTTCTACTGGGAGACATTCAGAAACAAGTCAAGTATCACAATGTTTATTGATAGATACAAGTATATAAAATCAGGGCATGAATATGTCTTGATAAATTAAGTAGATTTAATTTCAGTACTATAACAGAGGGACCAATTCAAATTTCTTACCATGTCATGTTTCACACCCACAAAAACCTCTTCCAAAGGGCATTAAACCATCTCTTTAGCTGATCAGTTTTTGTGCAAGTAAACTGTTTCTTTTTAAAAGACTTGTGCACTTGCCCAGGCTCAAGGATATTAAAACCTAGCACATAAAGCCCATTACTAGAGGTAGAAATACAGGCAATATACTATTACGGCAACAACCATCGATTACAGTTAAGGATTCTCTGTAACAACCAAATGGATAATCAAACATTGCAACGACTCAAGTATTACACTGAGCAAAGTGCATTTCTACAGTATTCAGTGTTGCTATTCAGTTTTCTAACTTAAAAACAGCCTATGATAACTGGCAGCAAAGAAGACCCTTGCAACAGACTGCTTCTGCTCGAGAACTTATGATGTAATTATTGCATGCTGCTAATACACTGTTATCTAAACATTAAAGATACTCTAAAATATTTTTATTGTAGACTATTAAGACATACTACAAAAAAACCTTTTGCAGAGGATATCCTATTGACATACTTCTGCTTTAAATATTGTGAAACATTACAGCGGAATGAATTTTCGCAGTGGTTAGGTCAAATGCAGTTACATCATAGCAACAGTATGTTTGCACAATTTAAGGCTTTGGCTGGTTTTTTAGTCAGCTTCTTCTTCAGATTCTTCTTCTTCAGCAGTTTCCAGCCAGGTTAGCCATTGGTTTACCTGCAGTTACATAAGATTGGTTTAAGGGAGCAGGAATTATTTTCCCACTGTTTTGCAGAACACAATGTTTCCCCGCTCCCCCAACTAATTCTAAAAATGAGTCAGCCACATTTCGCACTAAATAAATGTCTCTAGTAAAGAAAAAAGATGATTTAGTAGTTTATCTTGCCTCACTCCTTCCCATTATGTTTCTAGATGTTAACAAGTCTTAAAGACTGTTTGCAAATGCTCTCAAACACTGTTGCAGTAGAGATCACAAAAGACAAATCTCTAATGTTATCAAATTTACCTGGAATAAAGCTTTGCCTTTCCCTGGAAACTCTTGAGTAATATCTTCTTTCCATGCCAAGAAGGCTTCTTCTTCAATGATCTCCATGTCATAGAAATGAACAAAGAAGCGCAGTAACATGCCTACAGAAGTGAATTGAAACTTTTTAGCTTTATAGCCTTCTGAACAATGTACTTTTAAGAAACGTTGTCACAAGCCTAAAAGGCCATACATAGACAAAAGTCAAATTTTGGGTAAAATCTTGATGCACACACCTTTTGGGAAGTTATTGTTGTAGCAGTGCACCTGGAGTGCATATAAAGCACTCACTTGAAGATCAACATGGTCATGGAGGAACTTCTGCATTACCGGCTTGAAGGAAAGCAGCAGTTGTTTTTCCTGCTCTAACTGCTCTTTAGATGGAGCAGATGAAGAATCCGATTCATCACTTGGTGGGTTTACTTCACTAGAAATATACTGCAAGAAACTGGACAAAAAAAGGGTTAAATTCTGTAAACTACGATATCACAGCTAGGTTTCATGTTTTAAAACAATAAAACAAGTATTCTGGAGTTCAGTTTGTTAGCTGTTACCAAAAAACACCCTCCTCCTTCTATAAGCAGGCAAGTGCCTGCACAGGGGATTAGTATTGTGGCTGACTCTGCTCCACAAAAATCCTAGTTTTGCTTGTTTTAACTCAAACATTTCAGAAAGAACACACAGGTCTGGACTTCTCCATCCCAAGCAAAAGCAACACTTCACACTGATCAACACCTGGAGACTTGCTTTTCTTCTCAAACACAATGGGTGTTTTAATACAGGGGAGGTTCACTCAGAACAATTTATTTCCCTGTGTGCTTTTATCTTTTTATGCAGAGAGCTAGATGTCAGCCTTTACAGAGTTAATAACTTACTGGCAGCTTCACAAAGAATGTGCCTGAACGACATCAAGATAGCATCTCACCTGGTCATCAATATATTCACAAATCCCTTATCTACATGAAGTTTGGGTGAAATGTTATCTTTAATCCACTTATAGATGGCTTGAGGGGATGGATCCGATTTTATTTGCTTTAGCAGTTCCTTCTCCAGTTTCAGAAGTGGGAACAAGAAGCTAAGCCCCTTCCCTTCCAAGATCTCCAGCATGCGGTCCTTGTTCTGGTCAATTTCTGACAAGTAAATAAGACAGACATACTTAAGTGCTGGTGCTAATCAAAAGCTATCATCAATGGTTCATGGGTCTAACTACCTCTTTAGAAACACCATTCTTAAGAATCATGACTGTTGATGGCATCAAAATAACCTTGTATGTTGTTTTACTCTGGTGTAAAAATGAAAGGAGAAACATCTTCCATACACTAACATGCAATGTCATAAGAGCTACGTAACTCTTACCTGGTAACATTTTCTGCATATTCACTTTGCTTTGTTGGAACAATTCTGTTAGCCATTCGCGATCTTGTAACTTAGCTAACTGCTGAAGGCAAAGCAGGAAGAGAGGGAAATGGGTGCCACTTTCCAACGGTTGAGCCAGTTCGGAAATGCTCACCAGTTCTGAAATAATGGCACGGGCTGCAAACTGTGCTAAGTAGGATTTCACCAATGGGATGTCCACCTCCAGTTTGGGGCACTGGTCCAGTACATTCTGGAATGCCTTAGAAACAGTAAACAACAAAAAAGCTGAAATCCTGAAGTAATTTCATTCTCGTGCACAATAATACGCTTACTAGATAGGAGCCTCGTGTTTCTTTTCTGCTTTGAATCACTTCCCAAGCAGTTCCCCATCTCCAGTTCCTGATGTCTTACACCTGCATTTCTTCCTTTCAACACTTATTATGCCCCTCACAGGTTTATACATTACTTTTACCTCCTCAGACCAAGAGGACTTAAAAAATTGCACACTGCCCTTTATGTAACCCAAGTATCATCAAGAGCCAAGCAACAAGGACTGTGAGCCAATGAGACTGCAGTACCTGCATGAAGTTGTCACTTGTGGCTATTCCCTCCTGCTTGAGCAAGCTGATCAAAGTACTTGCTTTCTCTTTGTCTTCATCCGATCTATCTAGGGACAGAATGATTACTTTGCTCAACATCTCAGGAATGAAGTGTTTTGGAGCTCTCATTTCTCTCACAGTATTGACAGCATCATTAGCATTTCCGTTGTTCAGATACTCAGTCACAACGGCCTCCTAGAGAAAAAAACAGTGTAGTTAAACTAACACTCGTTTTTGAGGAGCATACACAAGGCTCCAAGAAGCACTATTACATACTTAACTTACAGTTTGTTTAAGTAGCTCTTCTTTAGAAGGAGGTGGTTTCTTGATGGTCTTTGCAGGCTTTTCTTGTATAAGTGGTGGATTTGTTTTAAGACCAAGTTGAGGAGGCTGAAAAAGACAGTACCAGAGTTTTTTCTTCTCAGTACATCTACCTACATTTGGATCAAGAACACTAGGTATGTACAAAGCTACATGAAAGCCTAATTAGGTTTTCATACATTCTTTTTGTATATCCTGCTATATGCAATGAAAGGCTTCTCTCTCCCTTCCCATGTTATAAACTGGTCTGTTTTACAGACATGGAGAAATTAAGTATAAGCAACAATATACAGTAATTTTTATATTTACCTGTCCCAAAGGTGGTGTCTGAGTGCGTGGTGGTTGAGCACTGGGAGGAATCATAGTTATCTGGGGCTGAAGCTTTGGCACTTGGTTTTTATTCATTAGAAAAGACTGAGCAGGTCTCAGGCTAATCTGTAAACAGGTAAGTCAGAAAAAACCTCAAACTGTTTCAAGTATTCTGACCAACAACGCACAGCCATGGTCTCACACCAACTGATCCCACTAAAGCATGACTTTTCCATTTCTACAACATTAACACTATTAATACAGATTAAGCCACATGCGTACTGAAATTTCCCCAAAAGCACGACTTGACGAATCGTAACTTGCTGCAAGCTACTGGTATTTAGTTTAATTGGTATCGAGATCTGGATTTGCTCCTTTTAGATGCAGTATGTTACAGACCCAAGAAGATACTTAGTGTGTTTGCTGATGTATTTTACAGCCAGGACAAAACTCTACTAATTGCTCAGAAATCAGAATACAAGTCTGGTTAACACTCACAATGCAGTTTACTTCGCATGTGACATTTTGCCTGTTAGCTAGTTCTAAAAAAAAAAAAAAAAAATTAAAAAAAATTAGCTGGTCCAGCACTTCAGGGATTCTAAAGTTCAAGATTTTTTCTCAAGTTTTATTAAAATGTATTGTTATCAGTATGATGCATAGGAACTGATGTCAGAGTAGTGTTCCTGTGGGGGGGGGGGGGTTTGGGGGAGGAAGGGACACCCCAAAAAATTGCCCTCATATCTCAGTCTTGCTCATAGGACGCTGGATACCCTAAGAAAAAGTGAAGGGTAAGGTGAAAGACGAAGGGACAAAAGAGAAGGAAGAAGAGGAGGAGGAGGAGGAGGAGGAGAAGAGAGTTCCAGCATTAGTCCTCGTAATAACGCGTCTTGCTATAATCATTGGGCAATATTTAGAATAGGCTTTAAGTAATGTAGGCATGTAATGTACCTCATCTGCATTAAGCTGTCCTTTCTTAGAAAACCGAGGTGGCATATCCTTCGACTGTCCTTGTTGCTGGGATAAGAGTCCCTGATTCTGGTTATGGTAGAGCTGGCTTTGCCCCTATTTCAGAAAGGGAGATATAGAGAAAGAAGTGCAGATGATGGAGTGGCGTACATCATATGGTAAGTAGTACCAGAGGGACCAGAGGAACAAAGATTCTATTTGCCAGGAAGGGAAAAAGAAGGAGCAAGGGTGGTGGGAGAGTAGCATCTATCCCTAAAAACAGGGCTAACTTTTAAATAAAACACACCATTCTGACCCACCAAAGCCACATGCAGCTTTTCTTGCAGTAAAAAAAAGTATTCCTTGCATCTCTCGCACAATTTGAAAGGTGGCTTAGAATTTTTGCATCAGCTGAGCTTCAGTTCTTATCAGAATCAAATGTGAGGAAGTCTTTCAACATATGCAAACTATAATCCGTAACATACGCATCTGTAGAAGAGCTTCTAAACATGCTGAAGTCACCCTGTGAATATCTTCCTTACCTGACTTTTCAGAAAAGATTTGCCTAGTTCTCCAAACTGGGATTGAGCAGAAGGCATGAGGTGACCCCCATGGCCATTGAAAAGTTGGTTTGAACGATGGCGTCCCATGGTGGGTGAAAATCTATCCTGAATAACCCCTGGACCAGTACCAATTCCACTACCTGTATTATTGAAGACACAAAAGAATTTTAGTTCTCGTTCAGTACAGTACAGCCACAGTAATGACATCAGCCTAGCTGTTTCTGTGTACCTGGCATTTGTCCAAACATATCAGCAAGCCCTCCGAGTGGGTCCCTGTCAAGTTTCATCCTGGGTGGCATAAAGGGTCCCTCCAGAAAGAAGTCGCTTCTCATCCCTTGAGACATAGGAGCAGGAATAAAAACTCCCAGATCCTTTAAAACAGCAATTATAATTTTGGTCAGTTTGGAGTAATAGTCTCTGAGAATGTCAAGTTTTTAGCCCTGAACTAGAGAAGCCCATCTGATTTTAACCCTTAGCCCCTTACTATCCCACTGCTGTAAGAACTACTCCTAAGCGCACAGCGGTAAGTTTTGTGACATGGAGTAAACAGCCTAAGGATTCACTGTAACACTTAAGCAAAAGCCAAGCACAAGATCTGACACGCAACACTTACTTTTACTGCATCTTGACGGATTTGATTGATAGTCTTTGGTCCATTGTCAAGAAAAGCTTTGCGAGGAACCCAGTTGTGTTCTCTCAACTCCACAGTATCCTTGGAACACAAGGAATTATTAGGAAAGGATTCAAGACAACTTTGAGAGAAAAAGGAAGCAATAAGCCGTTTTATCATACCTGCAGCAGGAAACGAATCCTTGCTGGCAATTCCTTACTTGACATCAAGGAGCGCATACGGGCAAAGTACTGATCCATTAAGGACTGAGGGAACAAAAGTGATGTTACAAGTGAGGGCTAGTTCTATCAATGTCTTGAGTATTTTCAGGGAATGTGACCACATTCCAGACACCTAAGATCAAATAATAGAACAGACTGCCCTTTCCTGCCATCTCAATCTCCTTAATTGAGTAGCAGTACAGCTTAACAAAAGCTATTGCATCAAGACATCTCATCTGAGTCAAAGACGAAAACCTGCCAGAATTCTTATTACTATGAAACCATTTCAAGTTTACGTTCAGAACTCTTACGTCAAGGTCTGTAATATGTCTGCCAGATCACCTAGCTGTGTTCAGAACGCAGTTCCCTCACCACATATTCTCAAGCAGCATTGAGAAACAACATTCTCTCTTTTATGACTTCCTAATGACCCTAACTGCATTCTGGAAAGACATTTAAAACCATTTCAACAATTGGCTCCTTTTGCTATCAAGCGATTTGATGCAGGAGCAATAGCTGGCACTCTTAGTCTCTGAATCAGACCTCAGTTTTGTACTTATGAATAGACAATTTAATACAGAAAGTTCAGGTAACTGAAGTCTCAGCCATAGAATTTAACTGGTTTAATGACTGCAGCAGATATGCACATACCTTGGCTTTTGCATGGTCTAATCTAGGTCCCACTGTCCTCATTATCTGACAGAGGCACTCCAAATCCTCCCCCATATCTTTGAGTTGGACTCTCTTCTTCTTTTCCAAAAGCTGAAATGTTAGAGGAGAATTAGGTATTGCAACATATGCTAAATCACGATTTCTAGTAGTGACAGCTTTGTACACAGGCACATGCAGAAATCTTTCATCTTGTTCTGAATACAAATGAACTTGAAAATTAGTTTTTAAGAATTGCTAATTGAAGTATTTACTACTCGTAAGCATATGTACTTTGATGTACCTGCGGTACTTCTGTCTAGGTTGAACTAAATCTTCCCTCAGAGATAATTCCCATGGCTCTGAACAGAGCCACTTTTACTTTCTAATCACACTATTTCAAACAACTGGGGGTAGGTAATCGACAAGAAGCATTTTTGTGCTATTTTATGCTCCAAGCTTCCCAAAGCAGTGTGAACATGTACATTTTTTAGTTCTGAAGTCCTATTTTGCTCTTAGACCCCACCCAATCTGAATACTCACTGTTTTGATGCACTTATGAAGGATAGATTCATGAATAAGATCAAGCTTGCCAAGTTCTCCAATGAATTTGATGTTCCCCAGCATCTTGATCTTGGCAATGGCTCTCTGTTCCTCCTCCTCAGGGAGGAGGGGACCATCATGCTTATCATAGACTGGAAAACAAAGAAACCTGTTTAACACAGCTGTGGAAAAAGATAAATAAATTCTGTATTAAAGTGGTTTTAAAGCTTACTATCAACATTTCTGGTTCGGTTTTCAAATTCATCTTGAAGTTTAGATATTAGGAGGCGTCTGAATGTCTAAGAAAAAAGAACAAAGAAAACAATTAAGCTCATCATTACTATTATACATACTAGCAACATTTACCATTCCGGATTGAGAGATATACTCACTGTGCTTTGCTTCTGTCCTGGATGACTCTCTGCTGATGGGCCATCAAAGTTGGGTGCATCTTCTGCCAGTCGCAGACATAGTTGAGCATACAGTGAGCTATACTTGGGCTCTTCAAGGGCTTTGTCTACGATCTAAATAGATTTTTTTTTTGAGTAAGGTAGCATGTAGTAGGATGCAAACATTATTAGGAAAGTGAGCTGCAAGATACACAATAGAGTATTACCACACTATATAATCTAGAACATTTAACTATTTTTTTGCTATTTCAAACATACAGAAATAACTGATTTTAACACTAGTCTTAATGCTGAAGCGAAGAGGAAAAAAGCTACTCTGCTACCAAAGAGCTTCTATAATCATTAGCCAACGAATGGGGACGAATTTGAAGTCTGTTGTCAGAACACCAAAGTCAGCATTGCGTGACAGTTAATCAGTGTATCAAGAGGTCACCTGTCACAACTCTTCCAAAAACATTAGGCCTGTTCATCAGGAAAGCAGGAAGAGGGAGACAAGGGCCAGAGAAGTAAGACTGCTGACTAGCACCTTGGGTTATTTTAAGAAAAAAAAAAAAACACAACAAAAAAGTCACCAATCACGTTTAGTGATCTCTGAGACTTCTAAAACATAACGTTAGAGCACTAAGTCCACTTCCTCCCCAGTATATCCTTTTTACACAAAAAGCAAGAATAATATCTGTGTTTGGATTATCAAATACCACATTAGCCATGCTACTTCTGTATCCCACCAAAACCAGCCAACCTCTTCATTTTTTTAACTACTGTTTTCTTTGCATGTTAAAAGTAGTTTAAAAGAAACAGCCAGCTTACCAGCAGTATGACCCCTTTTAGGATGAGCTTAGATTCTACACCCACATTGAGGAGCTCAAGGCATAGCTTGTCGAACTTTTCAGGAGTAAGCTTATTTAGTATGCTACAGAGGAACAAACAAAGATAAAAATCCAGATTACAGACGTTGTAAGCATGCTACAAGTTGTTTTAGACCCAAGTCTACCCTTACTTAATTCCGTTAAACAAAATAGAGAGGTGTCATTTTCCATTCAACCAGGTTTTCTTTGAGATCTTACTGGAAAGACGAATCCTCTCACAAGAATTACTCCTCAAGTGTTTGCTGCTGGCCTGTCAATGTCTGCCTCCTTCCCTTTCAAAGGGCACCACACACCCACACAGAACTCAAGACCCACATGCCTTCCTTTCCCCCAGCCTTTTATTAGAGGTATGTATTGCTAAAGAAAACAATAAGGAAAGAAAAAAATAATCTTAAAAAGAACTTACCCTCTTACTTTCCTGAAGATTGCATCATGTCGTTCTTTGTCGTTTGCGGAGTCGTCATCTCGTCTAGTGCTTCGTGAAGGAATCCATTTCTGAGCGTTTTGCCCTGGGGTTTTCCCCAGGAACTCGCTGTAAAATTTTTAAGAATGATTGTTTAACAGAAACCAATCATTTCAAGAATTGGCCCTTTAACCTTTCAGTATTCCCTTACTTAGACTAATTCTGTTACTAGCTTTGTTAAGAGCACACACTTACCCCTACTAATGTCGCAACATGTTGCATGTAATCGATCAACAATAATAAAAAAAGACACCCAAGAAAATTCTCTAAAATTAAGTGAAATGCATGAAAACATATGCACAAATCATAATGCACATTTCAACAGATCATATGCTATCCTGCCACAGACAAGAGGACATTAACATGTCAAACTCAGCAGGTATTTCTTGTACAACTGTAAAGATACTCTATTTTCAACTCAGTATTCCCCATACAGCATTCTCTGTCTTTAAAATCATGCCAAACTGAAGTGCAAGATGACATACCTGTTGCTGGCAGTCTTGGGATAGTGCTGAGGTGCACCCCTACCACCTCCTCCGCCTGAAGAAGCACTGTTAAAAACAACCATGTAATCTTGTTTAAGTTCAAAATCCCAATGCTTTCAATTTCATGTCCATTTCAATTTTGGTCTAAACATAAGACAAATTTAAATTCTCCTCAAAGGACAGTTTCCACTACCAAGCACTCAAACAAACAAAACAAAGCACTAGTACCTGAAACGAGAAGCACCCCCTTCTGCAATCGCACTCTCCACTTTGGCGGCTTGACAACGAAGAATCTTCAAAAGAATAAAATTAAATTTGACGGGGTGGGGAAAAACAAAACCTAGAAAGACAAACCAAGCATTCATATTATAGTTGTTTTACTAGCAGCCATAGTACCCAACTTACAATAAAAGTACAAGCATTTGTCAGAAGTGAAACTCTGAAGCACTGTAACTTCCACAAGGTAAGAAAACTCTTATTTATGCAATACAGAATGGCCAATTTCATCATTACAGCCGTTTTTTTCCAACGGGGGCAAGGGAGGAGAGATAAGGGAATCACAGGCGGAGAAGGTAAGAGCCTTGAAATTTACCCTGTCAAGCCCTTAAAGCACTTGCAGGAAAAAATATTTTTCTGCTAGCACAGCATAATTAAATGAATCTCTTATTGATATCCTTTACAAGCTATGATTAATTACATCAAGACAAAATAGTCAAGCCTCAAAGTTACAAGTACTAGATCACAGCATGCACATTTAATACAATAAAAGGGGTGCATTCTACATTCAAGTCCAAACGGCCAATTAAGCTACTAAATAACGAAAAACATATCGCCTCTTCCTACCTCAAACTTCAGCTTGCAAGACAGCAGCAGGAAGAAAAATTTCACTGCACTGCTCACGTAACAGAAAGCTAATCACAGGGATAGAACCGCCTGAGGAGCGCGTAAGAAAAAAAGAAACCACACCACGGGCATTTCAAGGCTCCATCAAAGATGTGCTCCAAGACATCACAGCTCTGAGCACAGCGTCCCCTCCTCGGAGAGCCAGCCTGCGAAAAGCCCAACAGAAC